CTTTAACTGGTGAGGGATCCATAAATCAAGTCTCTTGACATAACCAAGGGTTTTAAATTTATTTTCAATGCATGTATGCGACACATTGAGCTTCTCTGCAATATCTCGTGTTGTGCTGTGACGATTTGAATTGATAATGGCCAATTTCGATACTGCCTTTCTTTTAAGGCTTCATCTCCATATACGGCACATAACTTCTTTTGTGCTTGCGATGCGTTCTTGCCTTTTCGGAAGTAATACAATAAATGTGTCGGAAGTGCACGTCCTGTTCTTTCATTTTTAAATTGGGATAAAAACAAAACTAAAGAACTAAACAAAAATTTTTTACTAATTAACCTAGAAGCCCATACAGTAAGAAAAAAATATAGGTTAGATGCTCTGGCCACGTTAACAAAACAAAAGAAAGTATAGAGTGAATCCGTCAACAAAAACGGCAATGATTTAGCTGCCAACCCAATACATAGTTGTGAGGCGAGGGCAGTTAAAAATTGAGAGTCGATAACCTACCGCCTCAATTTGGGTGGAAATGCACTAAATGTTCTCAATTTTAGTCTGCTTATGGAATGCGAATAAATATTTTTTCGCCTGAAAATATTGTAGATTAATTAAAATGAATTTAATAGACCGTAAGGGGTACAATCTTCCAGCATGCTGAAAAACTACAATAGCCGACTTTATATTTATTTAAATGGGTGTGTGCGTAGACTCGCCTTCGATATACCTCAATGTGGGGTGTTCGATAGACTTTCCTCCACGTGGTGCACACTGGGCAACGTATACTCTTATGGCAAAAAAGTCTATAAACCGGCAGTTGACTTCAGACTTTAAACTACCATGACCCCAATCTATGTCATATTCGACTACTTCCGCAGTACTCACCTCACTTTTTCACCGCCATAGTGACAGTCTGTCTCTTTTCCATCTGTGAATCATTATTCTGTCCCCCCGCTTTCCACCTTTTCTCACTTTGATATTCCTCCTCCACTCTGTAAAGACTGAAGTCAACTAGAGGGCTAATAAAAACTACCGAAACGCCTGCCATTTGAGATAAATAAATAAATATTATTATTTAAGTATGATAATTATTTCTGCGTCACCTTTCTCTTCGTCCTCCCTTGATCTCCTTCTCGTCTTTCTTGTTTCCATTCACTTCAGTGACATCATCATCTTCATTTCCTGAATTTTCAAATAGTGACTGTTTCGACTGAGCCTGATTAGCCCCAACTGGACGTCTATAGACAGTAGGCGATGCTGTGGCGGCATGCTGATGTTCAGCAATAGGTGAGAGGATAGTGCCGAGGGAGGTGAGAGATGATGGACGTCCACTTGGAGGTCTCCCACGTTCTGATGTTCGGGAGGATCGAGCGCGTTTGAAGCTGCTCCTCTCATCACGATTTGGAGACGAACTGGTGTATTCGCGCTTGGAGTGGAGGGCATGGAGAGCCAAGCGATCAACTTTCCTCGCAAGGGACTAAAATTGGTAGAAAATATGAAGGTACTTAAAAATAGGCAACCGCCGATATTAGCTAATCAATATCAGCTGAAACTGAACGGAATATTCCCAATGGCTTAAACGGCAAAAGCCTCGTGGATAAGGCGATGAGGTAGCAAACTTAGTTGAGAGAGATCAGTGCCGAATGGATAAAAGCCAAGGCCATCTAAGTTCCACCAACACAGCTGCCACAAGATAAGACAGAGAGGGGGCCATTGACAGGCGATTTACTGTGGGAGAACATAGGGGGGGGGGGTGGTATATGTTTGGACAGAGTAGAGTCTACTGACCGCGAGAGATGAGTCAAGCCCAGACAATTGGGGCAAATCAGTAAGCAAATTTAGATTACAGTCCACGTAGATGCGCGAATAAAGTCACTTAGAGCGGTAATTAAGATAGATAATTGTTGAACATTACTTGCCCGTTACAAATAAAAAAAAGATGTGAAATTTTCAGTAAAATGTCCATAATTGAATCCTCCTGAACTATGGCTTGGTCTCAAAAATCGACACCACAGCCAAGACGGAGAGAAAGAACCACGTGAGTACAAGAACTTCTGGAAGGCGTGGATACGCTTGCAGAGCCCGTATCAGTTGACAAGCCATCAATGGTCGCTTGAAGTAGCATTAATTGAAGTCGCTTAGCGTCCATCATCTTGGTTGTCATAAAATTGTATACTTGGACTTTATAAGCAACTTATAAGTAGGTCAAAGTTCAGAAAGTGCATTGTGTATAAACTACCTAGTGCATGTCCACTATCAAAGTTTCACCTGGTGGTTCCCTATTGGTTAGCCATCAGTAAACAAGAAACTCTCGCCTTCAAATATCCGTTTTGAAAGACCATAAGCCTATTTCTGGTTTATTTTCCTATTTCAAATCCAATTTGTTATGTAAGCAACAAAGAACCCCATAAAACCCTTATTAAAACACAAATCCTGAAATTGGACAACAAATGGAGAACTCACTGCGCGAATCTCCTCAAAATTCGGGAACTTTCGAGCAAGATGCAATCGGTCCTGACCAAGAATATCTGTTAATTCATTGGATCTATGTCTCGAAAGACCTTTAGCACTCGGTTCAATATTGCGGTCCATTAGTTGCTCTTCGAATAGGGATTCCGCTTCATCGCGAAAACGCCTCATTACACTTGGATTTGCTAGGAATTCTTTCAATTGAACTTTGTAATGAGGAATTTCCTCCAGCGCGTCAGCTCTCAGTTGTGGCTCTAATATCAATGAGATTAATAGAAATTTTAAAAAAAACTTAGGAGGAAGTTGTCTGCTCATAAATTTAACGAAAAAGGCTGATTATAATGGCAATAAACACAAAGTACAAAAAAGGAATTTGTTCAATAATAATAATGATAATAATAAGTAAGCACACAATAATATCGAATAATTTTGTTTTAACTTACCACTCGTTTGGAGGGATTTCTCAGCCGCTTTAGATTCCTTTTTTACCGCCTTTTCAGGAGAATTGGACTGTCTGAGACGCTCCTTGGCATGCTTTGTGCTATAGCTGTCATCATCCACAATTTGGACTATTCTATTCTCCGCCCGGGGATGGTATCTACCTCTCTTCGGTGAAGCCTAAATATTAACGTGGAAGGTTATTAGTTCCATAACTAGCTGACGTTGGCCATTCAAACGCTGAACCAAACACAACCACAACACTATGAACCTTGATTGAAGTCTGTGAACTGTTATTGGATGCTGGAATTACAAATGGTATTAAGTGGATGCTTCCAACTGTTTGCTCTGTTTCTTTATCTTCCGTTTTTAAGTTTTGACTTTCGTATACCGATTTGAGATTCACTAAAGGCGAGGCCACTTGATTTTCTCTATCGAAACTAACTCTCGAAGGTGCATTTTCAGTTCGAGTAACTTGTGGGCAAATCCCTTTGTATCTACTGGGTATATCACTTTGACTGGTTTGTCGAGTTTGGGGCGGTTTTTTGGAGGATCCGGATGAGTCAGAGCAGAGGTTAAAGGCCTCATTAACAAGACTTGGTTCATCAAATACTTTGAACATTTCCAGAGTCGTTAAGGAATCATCGATACCAGCTTTATTTGCATTATTGACCATTTTGAACGATGGAAGAGTATATGTTTCTGTAAATGAAATATCTCCAGCGTTTTCTGGCTCAGTTTGTTGCATCGATTGAGGAGTTGAGATGATCGTAGCCGAATCTTGATATTTTGAAATATTTTTCTAGGTGGCATAGTGGGTAAAAATAGATTTTGAGGCGTTAGTCATACGCACTACGCGAAGGAACTTTACTTGAATCCTCATAAAAGAGCCTGTCGCTTGGTAACTATGGTTACCACAGAACACAAAATTAAAATTCTCTACATGCGGTTATTTTGAATAGATTTCTTGTTTTCTGAGAGGAGATAATAACTTATATATTTAAGGGATAGGGGTGTGCGATAGACTTACCTCCACGTGGTGCACCCTGGGCAACGTATACTCATACGGCAAAAAAGTCTATTAACCGACAGTTGACTTCTAACTTCAATCTACCATCACCCCACTGTATGTCATATTCGACTACTTTCACAGTACTCACCTCACCTCTTTTCTACCTTTGCATCTCTCTTTTAAATCTATAAAACACTCTTCTTTCCCCCCTCCCCCTCTCGAAATTTTTTCCACATTGATATTTCTTCTTCTTTTCTGTGAGGCCCGAAGTCACCTAAAGGGCTAATGAAACTATCGAAATGCCTGCCATTTGTCATAGATAAATATTTAAGGGATCTGATCGATTTTTCTGATATTAGAATAGACTTACCTCCAAACTCTTTACCTGACGTTCCAACTAGAAGTAAAGTAAAATAAGGCAAAATTACTTTAGAACATACTCGAACAAAGGGGAAAGGCAGAATTAAAACAAACCTGACGAGGAACATCATCTTCCAGATCCCCATAACTTAGTGGAATCGCTATTTAAAAAAAAGAGAAAAACAAGCAAGGAAGTGACGAAAATGTTCGTTTCTATTTAACCTTGTTTAAATTAACTGCTTACCTCCTTTAATTCGAAGCTGCAGAAGCTCCCTTTGCTTCTCAAGATTTTCTTCTCGAAGATTGCGAAGCTCAACCTCAAACATTTCCCGAACTCTTTCAACATCAACCTAGCATTTAAGTTGATAATAAAGTACTTAGGTAATGCTTTTAATGTGACCCCTCCCCCCTCTACGTCATCCATTTTGCGGTCACATATGCATAATCTTGAAATCGTAAGTGCTGCAACAAATGCTACACAAATAAGTCCACCAATTTCAATGTCAATTATCCATTCTATGAAATTGTTCCGGAAATTAATTAAATTACCTCAACGTTATCGAGGAGATTGTGGGTGTGGCGTAAATAGTGTTTATTGTGATTAAGCATTAAAATGCTCATTTGATTGCGCAGACCATGAAGTGGCAATTGATTGTTGATTGGCTAACAGGTCTCTAAGCTCAAGCTACACATGGTCTCTGACACGACCAGCAACATGGCCACATCCGATGGTTAGAAGGTCAATATCACACCACCCGTTCTAGAATGTTCAAGTGTGAATACTATTCCTTATTTCTGCCATTTTGGTGTTGTGATCTCCACAGTTCCTTTTATTTAGCTAATCGTACACATCTGAGCGTTAGGAAGTTATACAGTGAAGCTTCCATCTTTGAGAGTAGATTTAAAACAAATGAAGACATCTAATGGCCTAACCTCAATGAATATTTATTTTAAACCCATACCAATTTTACGCAATAGATATTGCCTTCTTTCACTACTTAATTCATAGGTCTTCACATGTCTATGAATTCGTTATGCCATTAGAATTTGGAAATCTTTTACGAATCCATCTTCCATGAATTTTAGATAACAGACAATTTCTGTTCACTTATTCACCAATTTTGCGATCATTCTCTTTGGTGAACAACACATAACTCACAAAGGATAAAGAATTGGTCATATGTTCAGTTGGAGCATTGTTTTACACTTGCCTCATAAAGACAGATTGAAAATTAGAGCTTTGAAGTACCGGAAGAAAAATTGAATTGAAATGATAGGACAGTCCAGCAGAATTAATCACCCAATCAATCATAAATGGGAACGAAAAAGAATTAGTGCATTAATTCTGCTTACAATTCACACAATTCGACTTTGGCAACAGGCATGCCAAACATTAAAACAAACGGAGTAGAAAAGTGCAATGAGGAGCACTGAGTCAATGACTTTGCTGCCATCATATTTTAATCACTCTTTCATCATTTCAATTGATTTTTCACAACAAAAAAATACAAAAAAGTTGCCTTGGCGTAATAAATGAATTATAGAAGTCCCCCCCTAACCTTGTGTTGTGAAGTGATCGTTTCCTGCCAAGTTCGATTCCGTTCTTCCAACTGGATCAGTTGGTCTCTCTCTTCTTTCAATTGTCTCTCCAACTCTGCTGCTCGGTGCTTCCATATGGAATCTGGTGAGTGGGTGGACGTCTGGACAAAGGCAGAGCTCACAGGTGGCGGAGGTGGCGGTGGTTGTGAAAGTGGAGGAATTTGTGTTTTGACGTGATCCAACACCTCTTTTATCTGCTGCTCCAAATTTGTGGACTATAAAATGTAAGAATCGCCATTAAAGCATACAAATTGTTCTGACTAGAACGTTTTTTAAGGACATCTGAAAACTTAGAAAAGTCTGATATATATATTCGATCATTAAAAGTTGGATTAACTAAAATTAGGGTATTCAATAATTTCTAAAAATAAGGAGGGCACTGATGTTTATTTGTAACAAATACTATTGACATTTAAAATAAAACGCAGTTATTGTAAGTAATTACAAAAACGATTAGCCATCAAACACCATAAAAAATTTGCCTTTGAAATTATAATGTATTTGTATCTTATTATAAAGGAAGGACGATGAAGTAAGAAGAACATTTTATCATTATTAAAATATCAATTATTATTATGTTCATATTTAAAACACTTTGATCTGTTTAACTTACTAGATCGTGGAACTTATACTACTTTGTCTTGAAATAATAATTAATTCCAAATAAATAATAAATAAATAAAATAAATAAATAATCTTCGATTTACCAGAGTAGCCTGGTGTTTTTCAGCTGGAGCCTTTTGCTTTATCTGATTGACTTCACGTTCAAATGATTGATGAAGTAGACCAGATGTAGAGAGATCACCATTTTGTAGAGCTGCAATAACATCTGTATGACGTCTGAAGAGATGTGCATTGAGAAAGGATGCATTTATGAATGCTTTCGGACAGTGTGGACAGCGGAAGTACGATTGGGGCCCGTTGTTCATCAGACGTTGTTGAGCTAAAAGAAGAAGTCGTCGACGATGACATTCTTTTCGTGTCGTTGTCAGCCGTCGAGCTTGTTCATCTAGACGCTTTCTTAACAAATCTGTTTCTTTCTTGATATTTTCATTTTCTCGGCGTAGACTGTCAACTGTGCCAGTCAAATAGTCTTGCGAATACTAGAAGATCATCAATCAAAGGACGAACAATGCAAAGTGAACATACAAGGAGATATTCAATCAGAAGTTGTGCAAGTTGAAATAACTTGACAAGATTTGTATCAACATAGCGCGTATCCTAAAGAAGCTAGCATAAAATTGCAAAATAATTTACTATTTCGGAATCAATATCGCAAAATGCGACGTTAAAGAGGTTTTCCTGTAAAACATCAATGTCTACCTGACTAGCAACTTTACGAACATCAATGGAAGCTAAAGAAAATTAAGGATAATTACAAAACGGCAATACCTAAACGCTTCCAATCGATTCGTTCTACGCGTTTACGAAAAAAGAATCCTGACATTTTGCTTCCATGAATAGGGAAATGACCAGAGATATTTGGATTATAAGTAGTCATAATGAAGAATCTAGCTATTTTTAATATAAACAGAATTATATATTAACATTGACAAAAAACAGTGTGTGATGTCAGAAAAAATGAATTTAATATCTTTTTTATTACTGAAAAACACTTTTCCTTTCTCATATCTGTAAGTTTCGAATAGAATAAAATTACACTTTTAAAATACACACGAACAGCTTCAATGCAAAACAGCTGATAGTCTATCTTAAAATTGTGCGTAACCTCAAAGTGTGTACGGTGTGTACAATAAACTCGAATTAATATATTAAAACATGGTAAGAATATTAATGATTTTACAATGCTTCCTTTAATTATAATTAAAGTTTTAGTTTTTCTTAAAATATAAGCGAAGTTATATTGTATTTTATTTGTCTCTAATAATTTAAATTCCAACGCTTTTATTAATTTAAAAACAACCATATAATTTATTATAAGGTAGTTAATATTACATATACCTTTGTTGATAATATCTAACTATCACGTGGCTGCTATAAAATGCTTCGCTTGTTGCCTCGTCCTCGTTTTCAGTATATCTTAAAGCATCTTGTTCGCGCTTCTCATGCATCCGATCCTTTTACTGATACAAAGGGACAATTTTATTATGTGATTCCTGAAATACCTACTGATACAGCACAATCGAATCCCTTATTGCATCTTGACACTCTTCCAAGGTTTTTTTTATTTTGTCGTGTTTATTTTTTAGATTTGAGGACATTAAAGTGGATAAGGTGTTTACCGGCGTGTCGAAACAGATAATCGAATATCAAGTTGCATTGTCGCAACTTGCAGAGGCTATCAAATCAAATAGCTTTCCCATTACTTATGAAAACGTTGTCACGAAAATCGACGAAATTATTTTTCCTGTCCATAATTCTTTCAAAATAATCGAGTGCCTTATTTCTATTAGTAATGATCCTGGGATGCGAATGGTGTACGGTCGTCTTTACTCCAAGATTTTACGGGCACAGAGCGAACATCTATACAGTAATGCAGATATTTATTGCGCTCTTCATCAAATCCTCCTTCATCTCGACTCCTCTGAAATGCTCAAAAGAGGTTTATAAATATTTTCTTTGTTACTTTTTATTTTAAAGGTGTTATCGAACAATTGCTCTCTGAGTGCTGGGCAAATGGTGCCGCTTTAGTTGCAGCTGCATCAGAGAAAGCCGAGTCCTGTAAATGTTGCTCGATCAGTCATTTTCCCCATAAAGGAAGCAATGAGGCTTGTAAGAAGAACTTGGGCCAACTCCTTTATACTCGTTCTGAGCTTATATTAGAAGAAGGCATGTTTGAACGAATGGTTACTTCTAGTGCTTATGTCAGCTCCCCGGAATCAATGAGTCAAGCTGCTGCTACGGGTCGTTTCGACAGTGCTACAAAGATTGGAGCTGCGATCCCGAGTTATCTTGCAAATTCTAGGAGTGACACTTCTTCTGGTTACATTCCAGTTGCAGAATCAGATTTGTCGGCATCGGCTTCGAATTGGTTCGCTTTTGCGCTCGGAGGTAAAGAGGAAGGGGGCTATATTAAGGGTATGAGAGTCAATCTTGGTATTGATGGTGTTGTTCAAGAATTTCTCCGTCACTGCAGTAATCGAGATGTGAGTTAGTGTTTTTTTTGCATTTAATTTTGTATTTTTCTCACTTGCTTACAAGTAATTGTGCGTTTTTATGAGCTATAGATGGCTACAAAGTTCCGTAGATTTTCGAAAATGTGATTTTTTAGGTTAAGTGTCTTCTTAATGTTAAAATTCTATTTATTTTCAGCAAATGCTCTTTTGTTCCATTAACAAGTAAGATGGTGATCCTAATTTATTATTGTCTTCTCAGTTATTATTAAATACTGAATTGTAGCTCGTGGTAAACCATAATCGTTAGTCATTTTTACTGTAAACGGAAAGATAATGTTGTAATTTTGTCTGTTTTTTCGTAATGTCAACTGCTCGAATGCCACAAACTAACTACTCCTATGCTTCTGTGCTTTAAATTCTACTGGAAAGTGATAGGAGGTGGATAAATACTTCCTAGAGGCCACTTATCACGATTAAAAGTGTCTTGTCTACAACTACAGTGTTTTAATCTGCTTCTCGGCGCCTATATCAGTTATTACTTTACCAGCTTCTTCTTCAGTTTTATCGCTTTAGCATTTTTATGTCATGGCGTCCACTCATGTTACCTTAAATCGCACACTCACGCGCGCACACACATGCACACACACACACACACACGCTCACAAATAAATAAAAGGTGATGTTTTGAGAACCATTCATAGGAAGGTGAAAAAGCCGGTTTGATGCGGCCACCGGTGTACAAAGTAATGCACGTGAGAATTTGATCTATATTACGGGATTGCTGTTGTTTTGCTCTAAATGTTTTCAGGAATGTTTACGTGTTTGAAGTGAATTAGTGATCCAAAGAAAATACCCTATTGCTTGGTCTATGTTAATAAGTTCTAGTAGATAGTTCCCAATGGGTTTTCTAGATTATCGGAACCGTTATCTAAAGTTTTTTTTTATATTATCGCCACGTCTGATCAGGAACTTAGTGCAGTCCTTGCCACCAGCCTCGAGGCTCTGAGAAATTGACTATCGATGGAAAATGTGTTTATTTCAACTCTTATTTTCAGAACTGGTGATCTTGCCATGTGAATGAACACGTGGACCACAAAGCACTCGTCTATTCAAACGGTGGGG